ATCAGGAAGGGAATCGAGGGTTGTGGGGAAAAAGCAAGAAAGTGGAGATGAGGATTATCATAGTCATACAACATGGAAACAGACCCTTCGGTCCAACCAGTTTATGCCAAACATAATCCCAAACTAAACTAGTCCGACCTGCCTCCTCCTGATCCATATCCCTCCAAACCTTTCTTATTCATGTACCTATCCAAGAGTCTTTTAAAAGTTGTAATTGTACTTCCTCAAAGTTCATTCCACTCTCTGTGTAGAAAATTTGCCCCTCATGTAATTTTTAAATCTCTTTCCTCTCTCCTTAAAAATGTGCTCCCTAATGTTGAAATCCCCTATCCTAGGGAAAAGACAACTACCATTAAATCTATCTATACCCCTCATGATTTTATAAACTTTATATTAGGTCGTCCCTCAACCTCCTATGCTCCAGTGAGAAAAGTCATAGCCTATCCTTAGAACTAAACCTTCCAGACCCTGCAACATCCTGGTAAATCTCTTAAGAACTCTTTCCAGCTTAATAGCCTTCCTATAAGTGGACGACCAGAACCGGACACAGTATTGCAGAAAAGGCCTCACCAATGTCCTGTGCAACTTCAACGTGACTCTCCAGCTCCCATGCTCAAAAGACCGAACAATGAAGGCAAGTGTGCCAAACACCTTTTTAACCACCCTGTCTATATGTCTCACAAACTTAAAAGAACTATGTACCTGCACCCCTAGGGCTTGCCATTAATTGTATAAGTCCTGTCCCTGTTTGTTGTACCAAAATGCAATACCTTGCATTTATTCAGATTGAACTCCATCTAAGTAAAAACTGAAAGAACTGCGGATGCTGTAAATCAGGAACAAAAACAAAGTTGCTGGAAAAGCCCAGCAGGTCTGGCAGCATCTGTGAAGGTAAAAACAGAATTAACGTTTCGGGTCTGGTGACCCTTCCTCAGAACTCCACCTGCCATTTTTCAGCCCGTTGACCCAATTGATCAAGATCCCTGTGTAATCTTAGAAAACCTCCTTCACTGTCAACAATGCTGTAAATTTTGGTGTCATCCGCAAACTTACTAAAAGCAATCCTCCACCATTACTCTCTGTCTCCTGCCATTAACCCAATTATGTATCCAATTGGCAAGCTCAGCCTGGATCCCATGTGACTTAACTTTACTAATTAATCTACCATGCGGAACCTTGTCAAAGGCTTTACTAAAATCCAAATAAATAACGTCTACTGCTCAGCCATCATCAATCTTTTTGGTAACTTCCTTAAAAATCAATCAAGTTTGTGAGACACAATTTTCCTTGCACAAAACCATGCTGACTATCCCTAATCAATTTTTGCTTCTCTAAGTGTCCATGAATCCTATCTTTTAAAATCATCATTTAAAACAATTTACCCACAACCAATGTCAGACTCTCGGGTCTATAGTTCCCCATTTACTCCTTCCAACCGTTCTTAAACAAACGATCAGCCATGACCTCAGTGGGCTGAATGGCCTATTTCTATTACATTTTATAATAGAATTTGAATCCATGGAGCTTTCCAAGATGCTTCTATAGCAACTTTTTGAAGCACAAAGTATAGAATATGTGGGTGTCAATTTCTACACAGCACGTTCTCACAAGCATTGATGTGAAAACCCTATTTTAATGATGTTAAATAGGTGATTCTATAGTCATTAGAAATGTGTGAATAATACCCTGATTATCTTCAGGTAGTGCCAGTTTTTGACCAACTAGGTGGGAAGGTGAACTTTGGTTTAATGTTGCATCCAAGAGGGGCAGTCCCATCAATGCCACAATCTCAATCCTGCTGTAGGACTGTTGTTCTAAGCTGTGGTCTCAGGTTTCTTGCGATTTTGTCTGCCTTAACATTCTGGTTGTCCATTTGTTAGACTTTGGTATTTCAGAACCATAGTTACATAATCAAGAAAGCCAACTGTTTGTATGAATTTTGATCATTTATTAAGTTTGGTAAGAAGCAGTTCAGACGAGATGCTTTAGTTAATTAGACAATAAAAAACACAATCCATACTAATTGAGAACAGTTGACTGATACCGAGGATAAACAGGCAGTTGGCACAGAGTATCAATCTCACTCAAGTTGCGGAGGCAGCATCCTACTCAAGCCAATGTGGGGGTTAGGGAACGTTTTCCTGGATCTTCCTTCAGTCTCTCCGAGTCCCAGCTCTGCCTGAAGAAGACAGCTCCTTGACAAGGGCTGCCCTCAGATTCTGACCTCTCCTTCCTCTTTCTGGAGGCTGATTGTTTTAGCCTGTATCTTCCAAACTAATGAACCGGGGATGACAGTTCACGATGTCAGCATAACCACTGGCCTGCTGTCCACTTTTCTCTGAACTTATTTTCCATTCTTTCTTCAAACCTAACTCTGCCCTTCTGCAGTGTAGCATTAATAATAGAATACAGGCAATGCCAGGTAGCGCTTTGGGGTATAGTGGCCTCCATGGTATTTTTTGTCATCTTCCTATTATCCTTGTTTATTACAAGTTGTTTAATTTTGAGGAAAGGTGTTGACTGCTGTAGCGACAATTAGCTGAGATGTCCTGCTACACAGGAAATACCAGAAAGACTTCGCTTTAAAGTGATCCCAATTTCTAACACCATGGCAGTTATTTTGTTGACAAGTAGAGCTCTTGATCCTTAGGGAATGAACTAATCCTGTATCAAATTCAACTCTTTTTCTGTCCACGGATTATCACTTTACCCATGAACGGATTTGTCCTCATCCCAATGAAGTCGGTCTTCGGAAATGTAGAATCTTAGCTGATTTAACATTCCTCCTTTTTAAACATTGCATTGAACCCAATGACATTGTAGTCAATATTGGATAAATGCTCACACATCATTAAGCCAAGAACTCGATCTCTGTTTTTACTCATTTATAAATATCTAATACAGGATGGACCGAGAAATGAAAACTGAAATTGCTGGAGAAGCTCTTCAGATCTGACAGCATTTGTGGAGAGAAAGCAGAACTGATTGTCTGATGCTTTAGTTAAATCTGCTGAGTTTCTCCAGCACTTCGTGTTTTTATTTCAGATTTGCAGTATAAGCCCTTGTTGATTCTGGGATAGATTGCTGCAGAAACCATCCCAGACTCACTCCAGAAATACATTACTTTCTGACATGCTAATCTGCTTATCCCAATCTATATGATATCATATCATATAATATGTATACCTAATATCTAATAATCTAAATAATATCTAGTTGTCACATGTACCTAAGTACAGTGAAAAGTTTTGTTTGCTTGCAGTACGGGCAGATCCTACCATACAAAGACCATAGGGTGATTAAACAGCGAGGAGTACAATGTTACAGCTACAGAGAAGGTGCACAAAAAGCAAGATCAACATTAGATTTGAAGTTTGAGAGGTCCATTCAGAAGTTGAATAACAATGGCGAAGAAGCTGTTCTTGAACCTGTTTGTACGTGTGTTTAAGTTTTGTATCTTCTGTCCAATGGGAAGAGATTATAACCAGGGTAGAAGGGGTTTCTGATGACGTTGGCTGCCTTTCCACGGCAATGAGAAGTGTAGATGGAGTCCATGGATGGAAGGTTGGCTTGCATGATGGTCTGGGCTACGTTCACAACTTTCTGTAGTTTCTTCAGGTCCTGAGCGGAGTAGTTGTCATATCAAGCCGTGATGCATCCAGATAGAATGCTTTCTATGGTTCATCTGTAAAGGTTGGTGAGGATCCTTATGGTCATGCCTAATTTCCTTAGCCTCCTGAGGAAGTAGAGGTGTTGTGCCTTTTTGACCATTGCATCAATGTGGGAAGTCCAGGTTAGATTGTTGGTGATTGTCACTCCTTGGAACTTGACCATCTCCACCTCAACACCATTGATGCAGATAGGGGGCGTGCCCTCCTCCTTGCTTCCTGAAGGCAGTGACCAGCTCCTTTGTTTTGCTGACTTTGAGGGAGAGATTGTTATCTTCGCACCACGACACCAAGCACTCTGTCTCTTTCCTATATTCTCATTCGTCTATCAGAGGTCCAGAGAATGGAAACTAAATTATAAGTATCACTGACCACCTTGGGGTGAATTAGAAAGGTAGCACTGATTGATTTTCTGAAATTATCAATCAAGAGAAAATTCCATGTATTTGTGAAGCAATGTGTTGTTGAAACTGTTTTAGAAATCTGGCAAGTTTGTTATTTTCATTTTAATTATCTCAACTATTTGTTTTTTTCTATTTGTCCTTGTGAGAGAGAGCTGGCTAGAATTAAAGAGGGTTGGATTTAAATCTTAGATATTATTTAGATTGTCTTGTCGTTTAACATTTTTCTGCTGAAAGATAGATGATGACCTAGTGATATTGTCACTAGACTTAATCCAGACACCCAGGTAATGTCCCGGAGACTTGGGTTCAAATCCAGCCATGGCAGATGGTGGGGGCATTTGAATTTAATAAATGTGTGGAATTAAAATGTTGATTATCAGGAAAAACCCATCTGGTTCACTTAATATCCTTTAGGGAAGGAAACTTCACCTGGTCTGGCCTACATATGACTCCAGACCCACAGCAATGTGGTTGACTCTTAACTGCCCCCTGGGCAAATGGGGATGGATAATAAATGCTGGCCTAGCTGGTGATACTGTTATCCTGTGAATGAATAATAAAATAAAGGTACTGTAAATTAATAATTTGTTTGTCTTTTGTTTACTTGATCGGTCTGGTTTCTGGTACTGGTTATTCATAAAGTCTGGTTAGGAACCATTGTGGTCAATTTTGAGGGTTATTGAAGGTTTTAATTTTAGTTTTAAGTGAAAACAGGGATAGGGAGACTGATTCGATTCTGTTTCCCGTCTCCATGTCGTCACCCCATGTCCCCCCCCACAAAGGAAAACAATCTAACCTTACAGAATTTTTTCTTTTGTTTTCTGCATGATGTTAGCGTTTCCTCAATATCCAAATTACCAGCACCAATATCAATAGAAACAATATCCCACCTGTGTGGTAAAGGGTGTACCAGGGCAGTTTGTAAAACTCAGTGTGTAAAACATTCTGTGACTTTGTGTAGTTCAGTACACTCAATCCAGAAGATGGCTCTGTCCATCGGAGACTGTGACTGGTCGCTGTGAAGAGCAGAGAGTTTCTGGATGTTTTGACAATATTTTGAGTTGTTTATGACCTCACTAAGAGCCCCAAATAGACCTGCCTGTAAAGTTGCCACATTAACCGCCTTTGCTGTTTCTATGCTTTCAAGACTAACCAAGTTGTCAAACTGATCATAAAACAAGGATATGCCCATGACTGGCACTCCACGGTAGATAGCTTCATACACTCCATTGGCGCCACTGTGGGAAATGAAGGCTTGAGTATTGGGGTGCCCAAAGATGTCATTTTGAGGGATCGGTGCGAGATTCCCTGTGTTAGGAGGAATGATGCGATCGTGTCTCCAGATGGCTTTCTGGGGAATCTGAGCAAATGCTGCACTGATTTCCATTGTAATGACCTGTGACCAAGATTGGATGAGGGTCCCCAGTGACATTACAATGATGCCGTGCTTCCCTGATAGTTGCACAAACTGGTGAAAGTGTGCAGGGAGCAGTTTGGGAGGTTTATGCTGGAACCCTCTGATATACACAATAATGGGTCTAGGAAACTCAAATGTAAAGTCTACTCTCATCAGCCACACATCTGCTTTCAGGGGAATGGAATGTGTGTGTGTTTGTCTAGGTATTGATGACACAGCTTATTGTATGGCTGATACAATGGGAATTCTGAAGTGCTTAACTGAAAAAGATTTTTTAGAAGCATTTGAATTGTCTGGTAAAGCGTTATTTTGTCTGTTAATTGTGATCCTAACTCTGGGATATAGGAGAGTAGACTTCTACAGTAGGAACCCATTGAACATTGTACACTGCTGGGACATTCAAATAAAAAGCAAGCATTGGACCTGCACACAACGTTGGGTCTGCAAGTGTGAAGTCAAAGTTTCCATCTGCAATTCTTTTTAACAATTCTTTGTTTCTAAAAAGTGTCAGAAATCACATGACACCAGGTTATAGTCCAACAGGTTTATTTGAAAACACAAGCTTTTGGAGTCTCGCTCCTTCTTCAGGTGTTACTGAGAGAGGTGGCATCAGATACAGAATTTATAAGCAAAAGACCAAAGGGTCATCAAACTGATGTGAATGTATTGAACAAACTTAAGATGGCTGTTAAATCTTTAATCCGTTAGAAGAGATGCAGGTTTCGATTGATTAATATGCAAATCCCGGAATTTCTTTCAAGTCACTGCCCCAAGATAACTAAAGATTTTATCAGTATACCAGAGGTGCCATCTCAGATCAGACGATGCATTTTAGGTGTGAGGCCTTGTTTAGAATCTGTCTGTGTTTTAATTTGGAGTCAGACTGGTTTTATTTCCAAAGTAGGAATTTATAAAATGTCACACTGACTGACTGTTCAAAAAGCACACAATTTATTGACAAAGTAGCATGTATTACAAATTACAAATCTGCAAATGCAAATTTACCCCATAGATTTTTTTTGTGCGTGTGTGTGAGAGAGGAGTGAGACTCCGAAAGCTTGTGTTTTCAAATACAACCTGGTGTCATGTGATTTTTGACCTTGTCCATCCCAGTTCAACATTGGCACTTCCACAACTTTAAAAAGTGTGACACCAATTAAAAATTGTTGGGACCACTGATGTCCATCAAGCAAGAACAATGTGACCTTGAACTGGAGCTGAGTGAAAAAGCACAGTGAGAGGCCATTCTTGGAGACTGCCAGCAAGTTATGTATCAAACGCTGTGTAGCACCTGACTCTTCAATTGTTCCTTTCAATTGAGTAGTTGAAGCACGATGGACTGGTAGAGATCAAGCCCCTCTTTACTATACCAAGATGTGGAGGAATGAAGTACAGTAATCTTGTGTCTGTAAAGTCCTAGTTCTTAAGTTAAAACTCTCATATTGACCCAGTCACTTCCATCAACTGGAACGACTGGTATTTAAGCTCCTTGTACAAAAGGAGACAATGATGATACACAGAATACATTCCATCTGTATTTCTGTTTAAGGTCTGCAGCATCTACATTTTGCTTTTATTAGAGTTTGATGGATTATTAAGTGTGTTACGCTTCAGTGTTTTAGTGTTACTGGTAGAGAAAAACTCTACTCTGGTAGATCTGAAATAGAAACAGGAAATGTTGGAGAAACTCAGCAGGTCTGGCAGCACCTGTGGTGAGAAAAACAGATTTCTGAAGGAGAGTCACACGAGATTTGAAACATTAATTCTGTTTCTCTCTCCACAGATGCGTCTAGATCTGCTGAGTTTCTCCAGCACTTTTTGTTTATTTAATTGTCCATCACACTCTAACCAGTGCCCCATCAATCTGTAAACATTAACGCAACAGTCAATTTATCAGAATTCCATGTACCAGCGATGTAACATTCTGCTCACTGTCCAGATATCTGTTAACCCCAAACATTGCCCAGGGACCCAAATTCTGGATATCACCTAAATATCCAGAATTCCCTATGATTTCCTGGTGAGCAAGAATTTCTAAGCTTTCTCCTGTGATCAGTTAGTTATTCATTTTATAACAACAGGAATTGCTAGAGTAGCTCAGCAAGTCGGGCAATATATGCGGAGAGAAAGCAGATCTAATGTTTCGGGTCGAGTGACCCTCAGAACTGATGGTAACTAGGAAAATGTTGGTTTTTATGCAGAAGATAGGGTAGGGGAGGGGATAAGAAGTAAATGAAAGGTTGGGATAGAGCCCCAAAAAAGAGAAGAACAGTTGGACAGACAAAGGACTGAATAACGGTCAGCCGAGGGGAATGAATAGCTGCTAATGGAGACCAATAGTGGCTAACAATGCATGGTGTGTAATAGCAGACCATGGGATAACAAGGCCTGGTGTGTGGGGATTGGGTTAAGGACATGGGAGAATATGCCTCAAGCCATAAGGTTGTTGATCTATATATGGAGCCCAGAAGGCTGCAGGGTTCCCAGACTGGGTCCAACCCATCTCTCACAACAGCCCTGAGCCCCCTCTCTCCCCTTCCATAACAACGATAGGGTTCCCCTTGTCCTTACCTACCATCCCACCAGTGTCCACATCCAGAAGATCATTATCACTTCCATTTCCACCACCTCCAGCGAGATGCTACCACCACACGCATTTTCCCCTCCCCTCCCTTGTCTGCCTTCTGCAGGGGCTGTTCCCTCTGGAACACCCTGGCCCACTCTTCCTTCACTCCCAACACAGCCCCGCCACATCTCCCGCTGCAACCGCTGTCCATTTACTTCCTCCCTCCTCAGGACCCAATCACACCTTTCAGGTGAAGCAGCACTTCACCTGTACTTCACACAATCTACTACATTCGCTGCTCATAATGTGGTCTCCTCTACATTGGGAAAATGAAACGTAGAATGGGTGATCACTTCACAGAACATCTACATTCTGCTCGCAATAAAGACCCTGAGCTTCTAGTTGCCTGCCCTGTTCCCTGGCCAACATCTCTGTCTCAGGCTTGCTGCAGTGTTCCAGCAAAGCTCGGGGCAAGTGGAAGAACAGTACCTCATTTCTCGCTTGGGGACCCTGCAGCCTCTGGGACTCAATAGCGAGTTCAATAATTTCGGGGCTTGAGGTACCTTTTTCTATGTACTTACCCCAACCCCCACAAGCCAGGCCTTGTTATCATATGGACTGCTACCACAAACAACACATTGTCAGCCACTTATGATCCCATTATCAGCTATTCATTCTCCTAGGCTGACCTTTAACCCACTGCTTTATCTGTCCAACTGTTCTCTCTCTCTCTCGGCTCTGTCTCTACCTATCGCTTACTTGATCCCCCTCCCTGCAATCCATCTTCAGCATATACACCAATCCTTTCTCAGCTACAATCAGTTCTGGAGATGGGTCACTAGATCCGAAACATTAACTCTGCTTTTCTCTCCATAGGTACTGCCAGACCTGCAGAGTTTCTCCAGCAATTTCAGTTTTTGTTTTTGTTTCTGATTTCCAGCATCCACTTTTTTTTAAATTTTTCTGTGAGGTACAGAGTAAAGCTCCCTGGACACTATCCCATCAAACAGTCCCAGGACAGGGACAGTATGGGGTTGGATACAGAGTAAAAAACCTCAATACTGTGCCAATCAAACACTGTCAGGACAGGGATAGCACGGGTTTAGATACAGAGTAAAGCTCCCTCGACACTGTAATAAAACCTGAAAGAACTGCATATGCTGTAAATCAGGAACAAAAACAGAAGTTGCTGGAAAAGCTCAGCAGGTCTGGCAGCATCTGTGAAGAAAGAATCAGAGTTAATGTTTCATGTCCAGTGACCCTTCCTCAGACGCTGCCAGACCTGCTGAGCTTTTCCGGCAACTTCTGTTTTTGTCCCTCAACACTATCCCCATTACTCACTCACTACTATTTTAAATTGAAGGTGAAACTTACTCGACAAAAATGGTTTGGTCATAGAAAACAAAGGGTAGTTGTAGAGGGACGCTTTTCTGACTGGAGGCCTGTGACCAGTGGTGTTCCACAGGATCGGTGCTGGGAACTCTGTTGTTTGTAAAATATATCAATGATTTGAATGAAAATGTAGATGGTCTGATTCGTAAGTTTACAGACGACATGAAAATAGGTGTAGATTTGGATAGTGAGGAAGGTTGTCAAAGGATACGGCAGGATTTGGATTAGTTGGAAAGTTGTGTGGAGGAATGGCAGATGGAGTTTGATCTGGACAAGTATGAGGTGATACATTTTGGGAGGTCAAATGCAAGAGGAGAGTACACAGTAAATGATAGTAACCTTAGGGGCATCGATGTACAGAGGGATCTTGGGGTACAAGTCCATAACTCCCTGAAAGTGGCAACACAAAAGTGGGTAAGGTGGGAAGTCATGTTGCAGCTGTATAAAACTTTAGCTGACCACATTTGGAACATTGTTTGCCCTTCAAACTATAGGAAGGATACTACAGAGCATGGTCAGTGTCTGGAACACACTGCCAGGGGAGGTGGTCGAAGCAGATACCATAGCAGGCAGGGAATAGAGGGATATGGACTAGGTGCGGGGGCAGATGGGATCAGTTTAGAGTAGCATCACTGTCGACACAGACATGGTGGGCCAAAGAGCCTGTTCCTGTGCTGTACTGTTCTATGATGTATTGTTCCATGTACACTGTCCCCATCAAACGCTCCCAGGAGAGAGAAGAAATAACTCCAGTGGGTCTGGTATTTCCATCATCAAGTCACCCTGTATTTACACATGAACAGTCCTTGACTTTAGCACTGCCTCTTCAGAGTCAGATCTCAGAGTACCAGAATCTCTGACACTCCCCTTTTTACCTGTCAGCCAGGACTGTCTGATTGGACCTGATTAACAGCCCCAATCAGGGAACTCATATACTATGTTACAATCTGGTTACAGTCACTACATCCCTCCTGCTCTGAGTCCGAATACGTAGGCCAGCTCTTTTTTAGTAGTACCCCCGGGGTGTTTTCACACCAGGTCAGGTTCTCCGACTCAGTGTCTGATATGGGCAGCTTGTAATTTACAGGAGCTCGCCTCTTGTACAAGGAGCGCCTTGGTAGAATTTCACTCTGTTCTTCCAGCAGCAAAGGCAGGGACATCCGTCATGTCCATCTCTGATTCTGAGAACTCCTCAATACTTGACAGAGAGGGTTAACCCATGGGTTCTGGCAGCATTTTCATCTGTTCGGAGGGGCAGGGCACTTATTGCTCCCGCACTGTTTGCGAGTTTACAGTTTATGCTGCATGTCCATGTGGGGTCATACGGTCCACGTGCATGTTCAGGTCCATCGCACCTATCTGAACTTTATACGTCACTGCACCTCACCTTGAACATGCCTCTTTCCCATGCCGGGCCATTCCCGTGATTCTTACACTAAACTCTGCCCCTTGAAGTAAACTGTCTCTCTCGCTCAGTGGAGTCTTGTATCTGGCATTAGCGTTCCTGATGCTGTTTCACACCCCCCCAAAACCAGGTCCCAGAAGATCAGATTAAACCTGGTGTGAGTCCTCTAGCCATTAGCAACTCTGCCATGCTATCCCTGTAGTTGCATGAGGGGTGGTATCTAATCAGGCTGTCAGCTGTTCCCTTTAAGATGGCCTACAGGCCATTAGATGGATGATTTGGAGCTGTCCTTATGTGCCAAATCCTATTCGACTTTAGGAAATACTCAAATTCCTGACCAGTAAACAATTGCCCATTATCTGTGACCAACACTTCCAGGAGTCCAGAAAGGACACTCGCAACTTTTCAATCATCGACCCCATGTTTGACAAATGAACTCTATACACAGCCAGCCACTTTGAGTGGGCATAAGCAATGACTAAGAACATTGAGCCCATAAAAGGACCTGCGCAGTCGAATTGTAACTGAGTCCAGAGTTTACCCGTCCATGGATGTGGGGGAGCTGCTGGTGGTAATTTATGTCCTTGTTGGCACCCTAGGCATTGCCCCAGCAATGCGGGCTATTTCTGCATCCAATCCTGGCCACCAGACATAACCTCTCGAAAACATCTTCATTTTGGAAACCCCTAGCTGACCCAGGTGGAGTTCAGCCAGTATCTGGCAGTGACCTTTGCTCGGGACAATCACTCTTGTTCCCTGTAATAATACGCCATCCTCTGCCATAATCTGGTATCTCTGGGTCCAGAAAAGTTTCAGTTCTAGTTGTGACGGCCCTTTGGTTTCCCCATCACCACCAGTGGTTTCAGTTTTGCCAGGACCGGATCTTTCCACATGCAAAGTCTGACACTGTCAGCTGTGAATGGGAGCATGTTCAGAAAAGTTAATATCATCACAGACTCTTCCACTGAGGGTATCACCAGTGGTATATCTGCCAGCAGGAGGCGGTTTGATGTATCTGCATTCGCTACTCAGTTTCCTGAATGGTATTCTAACTTGTAATTATAAGCATTCAGTATTAGAGGCTTGGGGTCATAATATCCCTTAACTGTTTTCTTGAAAGGTTTTAGAATCTGGTGCCTCAGGGAAAGTTAGGCTCGTAATAACAGAAAAGGCATGGTTCCACAGGAGAAATACCCATTACTTCTTCTTTGCCACAATGTCATTTGCCTGTAAAAAATAACACATTCTTTCCACATACTGGGCCCAGTCCTGAACAGCAGGATTGAATGAGTCAAACTTCCCAAACAGAGGCATGATGTTGAAAATGCTTACCCCAGCTCAAAGATGACTATTGTGAACAGGTTTCTTCAGGATCGTGCTTTATTCTCATTGTCACTAAAATAACTCCACACAGGCTGGTATCCCATCACTAAGTCACTCTTTATTTACACATGAGTGGTCCTTGAATTTAGTCTGGCTTCATTCTGAGTCAAGCACCAGAGTGTCCTTTTTATTTATCAGCAAGGGCTCCCTGATTGGACCAGGCTAACAGCCCTAATCAGGGAACTCATGCTCTATGAAGTCCACCTCGCTGACCTTGTTACAATCACTACAAGGGACAGTAGTAATAGTCAACATTTATTTTTTTAAAAAGCATTTTGTCATTCAGACGTTTTATGCAAAAGAACAATTGATGGACAATGCCACATTTTAAATACAAATATCTCCTTTGGCTGTTATGAATATTTGATCCAGGAGAGGGTGCTATTGGATTAAAAAGGAACTAAAACTCACAGCCTAACAATAGAGGATATGTCCCAAAATACAACAATTCCTAAATACATCGCAGAAAAATAATCCCAACATATATCCCAGAGCAATAATCTCAAAAGATGTCCTAGAATAGCAACCTATAAATCCCTGTATCCCTCCCAGAGTAGCAATGTCTGGATTTGTACAATGGGTAAGAATCCCAGAATACACTACAGTGTCATAATTAATTCCAGAATATATTCCGCTTGATGAAAGGTGCTTTATTTTGATTCTTGTACAGTTTTGATTTCAAAATAATGGTATTTTTCCTAATCGTGAAGATGTTTACAGTTAATTGGGTCAGCATTTTCTGGCACCTTGACATTAAACCAATTTGTGTCAGAGAGCAGGTGACTGAAGGTGTCAGCAAGTGTAAATGGATGCTTGGGTCTACAGGTGTGAGGTTGGAAAAGCACAGCAGGACCCTGACAAAGGGTTTCAGCCCGAAACATTGACTTACCTGTTCCTCGGATGCTGCCTGACCTGCTGTGCTTTTCCAGCCTCACACCTATAGACTCTGGCTTCCAGCATTTGCATTCCCTATTGTCTCCTTAGTGGAAGCTTGTTTATATAGTGGGGGTTATGCAGGAGATTAAAAAAAAATTAAGCCATTAGTTTAGCAGAAGCTAGGAGACTAGATCAGTGTCTTTGCAGTCAGTGTCACAGGGAAGCTTTCTGGGAAGGGTGTCCTGATTGTGGGAGAAGAAACAGAGAATGATATCATAGGAAAACCAAATAGTCTTACCCTACTATAGGAGGACAGGCTCCAAGGGAGAGAGCTGATTGCTAAGGTTAGGTAAATATTTACAACTTTTATTGCTTACATTTTGTCAGGTGTTTTTGTGGTTTATAGTTTCTAAGGGTTGTATTCTATTGTTTGAATATATACAATGGAAGGTCCTAGAGAAATTGAAATATTTGATATTAAGTGTATTCCAGAAGGTTTAGTTTAAAGAGCTAAGTCATTGCAGGGGAGTTTAAGCCTGCAGTGTGTTCCTCCTGTTCTCTGTGGGAATCGGGAACATTTCCAGTCCCCAGGATCAGCGCGTGTGCAGCTCCTGGAATCCTGGGATTCCGAGCTGGAGCAGGGGCTGGGGACACTGTGGCACACCCACAAAGCTGAGAGAATGCTGGACAGCATGGAGAGAGAGATGGTCACACTGCAGGCTACCACTCCATATGCAGAAGGAGAATGGGTGAGCACCAGCAGAGTTAAAGGACTGGGCAGGCAGAGCCTGTGACCATTCTCCTGAGAAACCCATGTTCCACTCTGGATACTGCTGGGGGGGTGCGACCTCTCAGGGGAAACAGGAACAACCAAATGTATTTTATCACATCCAGGCTCTGCTGCACAGGAGAGGAGGAGAAAGTGTGGAAATGGAATAGTTACAGGAGATTCAATTGTAAGGGCAGTAAGCAGGTGTTTCTCTGGCCACACACATGACTCCAGGGTCATATATTATGGTCTCCTCTACATTGGGGAAACAAAGGGTAGACATGGCGACCGCTTTGCAGAACATCTACGTTCTACTCACAAAAAAGACCCTGAACTACCCGTTGCCTGCCTTGCTCCCTGGCCAACATCTCTGTCTCTGAGATAGTAGGAACTGCAGATGCTGGAGAATCTGAGATAACAAGGTGTAAAGCTGGATGAACACAGCAGGCCAAGCAGCATCAGAGGAGCAGGAAGGC